ATTTATACTTGTTCAGACTGGTTTATACAAATTGTTCAAAATGATCATTTTTTGTCTTTTACGCAGATAAGGGTGCTTCCATAGACCATTCATAAGGTCATTAATAAGATAATAGCAGTTTCTAATCTTTGCCATCAGTTCATTACGTGTATATAGGTTATGTATATATAGTCCACCTAAACACAACCTCGGTTTTATATAACCTTATACAAAAAAAAAATTATATACGCTTCAACGGACACAGAAATAATGCTCTAACTCGATAGTTATCAATAGTTCTATCTATAGGTATTTCGAAAGCGAAGATGAATCGACCTATGCTGTATAAAACATCTTTTTACTCGAAATGATCTTTCAAACATATTGGCAACATTGTTTGACGGTTGAGATGCGGAACATCTTGTGATGCATCATCAATGAAGAAATTTATCATAATTTTCAATTATTTCATATCTTTGAATTAAAAAGTTTAATGAAATAGATATGAATAGATTTCATTCTCGTGGAAAGAAGCATTATGCACTTTCTAGAATATAAATATATATTTACATTGTTTATGGCACATCAGCAACAATTGTGTAAAACAAAAAAAAAAGGAAATCGTTTAAAAAATTAACGATAAAAGAATTTAATTTTTATCGATAAAACATTTTCTGATAAAGCGGTGTTAAAGCTATAGAAAAAAAAGAAAGGGGAGAGAAAGAAAAAATAGCAAAAGAGAGGGGGGATGGAGAGGGAGAGAGAAAGACAGAGAAAGGTTAATATATATATAGTACTTAACCTCTCTCTGTACACACACCCACACCACACCACACACACACACAGTGATAAAATAAAAGAAAAATACTTACCAGTGATGGTTTCAACGTCTTTGGTTATCGGTGGAGAAGGTGTAAGAGGACTCGATATTCTGTTCCTCGGTGTTCGAAGGGCCTGCAGAGCGGCCCTTGCCGTGGGCGAGACTTTCGATCGAATCGAAGCCTCGGGCCCCTTCGGAGCCGCATCCTCCACGGCGGCCAGCTTGGACGCTGTGGCGACGAAGGATATCGCCTCACCTTCCTTCACAGACATGTGAATAGACAAAGTAAATAACGTTGCGTCACTTGTTTTCAACAAACAGAGAATAATTTTTATTTTTCATAAAATAAGTTAGGAGAACGGATATATTCACCGCGACAAATCATCCACGCTATAAAATCAAACGATGGCTGATAGTTCGAGTAAATCTATCTGCTATTTTCAATCCAAATATATCAGGTTTAATTGATTCAATCTAAACATTATATATATATATTTATATTTTATACTTTTTTATAAAAAAAACAACAGGGAACATGTTATATGGGGTAATTCTATGTACATATGTACATAAAATTAGTACAGCGGATGTTTTTGAATCTGAAACTCTAATTTTTTTTATCTGATGAACATTTCGTCTACGTTTTTTTAAGAGAAAAATATTACATTTCAATTAAATCACAGGGAAAATAAATATTGTTTCTTATTATCCCAATATTATTAATTAATAATAAGAAACGAACTTTCCAGTTGTTTCTAGTAGTAAAAATTTTAGAGTAGTAGTATATATATCGTTAAAGTGTATACTATTACCTGTATAACCTATAAGTGTATACTATTAGTGTATACTATTTTTTTATACTTTGTCACGGGGTGATGAAAATAAGATTGGCGAAAGTTGTAGAAAGTTTTGAACACAAGTTTATTTCTTTGAAACTAATCGATTGTTCCACGAATGTTTTTCGACAATATAACGAGTATCAAACAGATTAAAACCATATTCATTGGTAAAAAAATTTTATTCTCAAAAAAGAAAAGTCATTCGAGAAAAATATTCTGCTTGTAAGTTGACAATGTAATTTGTGTTTTCGCATAACACTTCAAAAATATGCATAGATAACTATGACTCAAGGATTGAAAAGTTTAAAAAGTTAGCGATTATAATATGTATAAGGCAAACAAGCAAAATTATTTTCAGAAACAAAATATCCTTATTACTCCATTCTTATCATATCATATTATAAATATTAATATTATAAATTGTAATAATATTATAAATATGTATGTCTAAGAAATAAGGACTAACAAGTTAGCTTACAATTAAAACAAACCTGATAGTAGCTATTCCTATGGCTTTTTAAGATACAAAGAATTACACAGAGTTAATCAATTTTGGTAAGGCTAATCATTTGATTTTGAAAGGTTAATCTCTTAACACACAAGTTCTTTCTTAGTTTGTCAATGAAAGTAATGAAATTTTTTTAGAATAAAATATAACTAATAATATAATATATCTTTTAAGATATATAAATATTTTATCACATGAAGTAGTAGTGTTACATAAAATACTATAATGATATGTAGTGTTACATAAAATACTATAATGATATGTAGTGTTACATAAAATATCAAATTCACAAAGATCAATAGCTAAAGTGATTAATTAAAGTAATTTAAATGAAAGGTCTGTAAATATGTACTTGAAAATTAATTTGAAATTCTGATGCTAAAGCTAGAAGATTTTCAAGAAAAAAATTGATAATTTTTGCTTCTGTGAATAATTTATATTATGTAGTAAGATACATATGGATGTAATCCATTAATTCCAAATTTTTTCATAAGCGATAGATTTGTAAGAAAAATAAGTTTAATTATTTTTTAGAATCGATCTTTTATATTTTCTATTACATATTTGCTTTAAAATATCAATAACACAATGATGTATACAAAATATCATTGAAATATAAAAAATGAAAAAAATTTTCTGTAGTGCTTATTAAATTTAATATATAAAACAAATTTTATATTCAATAAATGTAGTAACTGTAAATTCAATAAACTTAACACATATTTGTATTCCAAACTGATTTAAACAATTAATAATTAAATAAATAAATAAAATTAAACTGACTTTAATAATTTTATATAAAATTGTAGTTGTCCGTATAAAATCATATTAAACCTACAATTATTGTAGAAAAATCTATTCAAAGTAATATTTTATTTTCTTCTGTTTTTCTCACAAATCTACAACATACAAGAAAAATACTGGAAACTAATAAATATACTTATTACTCAATAAAAAAACACATCAGAATAGCAATAATCTATGAATCTTTATAGAGTCTTAATTGTTGTTATTACAGACGTATGTAAATTATATTGTTTGAGCAAAACAATTTCTATAAAAAATTTCCACTAAGTTATCAATTTTGTCAACGATCTCACATTAATTATGATAAAATCATTTGCAATAATGAGAAATCATTAAAATTAATTTTAACAAATTATTACTTTTCTGTTTGATATGAAATTTTAATGAATGAATATATATCCGGTAAAATTATTACTTTTCTCCTCTTTCTTAATTTTTTATCATATCGTTAAGTTTCATTAATCTCCTTGTATTGTGTTACTTAAAAGACAGAGATGATTTATCTATCTTATAATTCCATGTATCTTTACTACGTATTTCTATTTCATAGTACAAAGATCTGATAAGTCTGACTAATTGCAATGATAATTTTTCTAAGAAATTTTGCTGCAATGAAATAAAAATAGAAGATTAATACTTGTACAGTGGGATACTATGTAAATAATGAATTCTTCTTGGGGGGAAAAAAAAGAAGAAGAAAAGAACAAAAGAAAACGAAAAGATGAGACAAAATTTTGATGAAATCTTCAAATCAACTGTAAAGCAAAATTAAATTATAAAAATGGCGTCAAGTATCCGGTAAGTTTTCAAGATATTGATCCCGTTCCTCGTGTTTTTCGTAACACTAGTATTCACGAAGTGACAACTATAAGTTGAGACCGAGCAAGGACGACATTACTGGAATGTACAAAAAAACGAATTCAAGCTATTAATACAGAAAAGTGCATGCATATGTGCCGTACTCAGTGAACTGTACTCGGTTACCAAGATCACGTGTCCCATGATTCCATTGAGGAAAAACCTAGTAACATTTATACAAAGCATATAAACTATTTTAATATAAAAATTACAGAATATAGAATTATATTTAATACTATTACGTTCGTGTCAAGCGATTTCAGGAAAACTTTCATATTTGTCTAACAAAAGTTAGTGTTGTATAGTAATATCAATATAATCTAGTTTGAAAAGTGACTATTGATTAAATCTAATTATCATTTACAAATGATATAGAGTCATATATATCTAATGATTGACTGTTAATTACAATACAATGAATTATAAAAAGGAACATAAATAACAAGAAATGTTACTTTCTTTTTTTATCTATAATTTATATAAATAAAAAAACTTTATTATGCTTTATAATATTAATAATAATACTTAATGGTACTAATGATGGAAAAATATATGTAATATAAATATACTTTAATATAAATATATGTAATATAAATTTAATATAAATATATGTAATATATATACTTTAAATTTTTATATTTTTTAATATCGTGTAAGAGATATTTCATGTAAGAGAGAAAAATTTCCTCATTGATTTTATCATCGATACGTTATCACGTTGCGATAAGAACGAATTAAACAAATGTGAATTTCCCTTTCAAATCGTGACAAATTGCACGTAGTATACACAGTATACTTTAGCATGCATTTCATCGTAATTCTTGAAAATAGACTAGCATGAAGTTGGAATGCTTGATCAAGAGAAGAATTTGAAAGCATAAACTAAATATAAATAAATGTAAATTGCAAGTATTATACACTTTTTGAAACAATTAGAGAATTGCTATCATTCTGTATCACATTGCATATGAAAAAAGTAAGGAAAAACGAAGAAATTTATCTATGATAAAAAATGGAACCATACACACGTGAACTTGGTAACCGAGTACAATTCACTGGACATGACTACCAACTACATATTTATACACTTTTCTGTATTAATAACTTATTGGACTTATTAATGACTCCGCAAGAATTAAAGGACAGAGAACAAAGACGATTTCATTGAAACAAAAATAAATATAGAAAATACGGTAATTGGCAAAATGATACTAATTGTTTTGAGTCTTAAATGCACACCGTTGTACATTTTGCAACAAAATATAGATACCATATCTAGCTGGTGTTAGCAACTGTTTTTTTTTTTTACGGATGACATCACTAAAGACGATACGTTTGAAATTTTCTCTGTGCAAAATTTCCAAATTTTGCTATAGTTATATATATAATTAGTTATATATTATATTATATAATATATATATTATATATAATATAATATAATAATATATATAATATAATATAATATATATAATATATAATAATAATATAATATAATATATATATAATATAATATTATATATTATATATATATAGTTATATATATAAATATATATAT